ATGAAATGTGCAATATATTTAAAAATCCATGTAAAATAAAAAGAAGAAACTAAAAATTCTCTACGTAAACAAGTAATCAAATAAAATTGAAATGATATCATCACCTAAATTGTTACGTGTTCTAGCCAGTGTAACAGTTTTTCGAAAAAAATGTTTTGCCAAAAAAAAACTAAGTGCGCAGAGTATATATCTATCGCAGCGATTATCAAATTACAGCAACTAACAGGCACAATGCCTGAAGCGCGTTCGTGATCGGACATCCATCAAATCATCGATTCGCCGAGATTTCAGCAGACCCGGTAGCTGTAACCACGATCCTTTCAACCTGCCATACGTCACGTACATCGAACGCCTCGCTTTGGCGCTTTCGAAGCGCCAAATCCCCGGAGTATATAGCTCGCCCACGCGAGTCAATTTTTGCGACAAAAGTCCGGTCGAACAACACGCCGCACCCAATGAAATGTAACCCTTACTGCAGCCCAAATTACTCTTCCCAGGAACAAAAGCTACATATTTTTTCTATTCGTGGCACGCTGTATTCGACCCCAGGAAAAAATGGAAAATGGATATATCGCGTTGACCGTAGATATTCGTTGAAGGGTTGGTTATAATTTAGTTGCACCGTTATCACGCGATTACATAGTACGTAATAATATATCGTGTAATTAATATCTCAAATATATCGCGATATAATTTATCACTAGCCAGTGCTGCACTCCAGTAAATGCCGGTAAATAGAAGCCACTTCGAATAGATGATATTCTAAACTGTATATATATATATACAATATGGCTTTATAATCGAATAATGTCACATATATAGAGAGCATTCGTTCAACTGAGATGATTATACGAGAGAAGCATCTATTAAAGTCCGGCTATTTCAATGTCCTCAATATAATTAAAATAAATGTTCCTTGCCATTTTGACATAAACATTCTTTATCGAGTTACTAGAGAAGAGATAGTAAGAATACAATTGGAACAATTTTTCATGCGTGCACCAGCTTGCCGAAATGTATCGACATTTACTACACTGATGACAGTTACTCCTACAAATACATACATATGACAAGATATAGAACCACTGTGTGCGCGCCAGCTTCTCTATCTAATCCTCTTCGAACGACACTATACGAAACTAGACAAAAACCTTGCTTCTTTGTTCTGGCACGTTGTCCTCGCACAACGAGCGAGAGTTACAACGTTGTAACCGCACAACACGCCAGATGCACACACACACACATGCAATAAAATACACATACACGCACAAACGAGACAGGGCCGTGTATCCGCCTCACGGGCCACGAGGTCATAACTTTGCGAGCGAGATGGCACACGTATTTATACTATACAACACATCGCAGTGTTGGTGTGACGGCGATTTTTGGTCCCGTTGCTTTATCGACAAGTCTGTCCGTTATTTATTATTCCCCCGTTATTGATCAGCGCGAATCACCGTGGCACCCTTGTAAAACTCGGTCGCGGAATATGGATGCGCTCATCGCGACAATGACAAATTATTTCACTACGAAACTCTCGCGTTTTAACTTTAACAGCGCGGATGTTTTTGCCAGGTTAATCAAAATATACAACAAACGATATATTTATAGCATGCACGATTTGTAAAAAACAATTTCAAAAAAAAAAAACATTATTTCATAAGATTCATAAGTGACCTACAATCACATATATGCGTTAACTGAATTCAATATCTCTATATATTTGATACATATATTTTTCTAACAAAATACAGCTCACTGAAACGAGTGAAATTTTATGATACAAAAATCCGTAATATATCGAATGTATGATATATTTGGAATATTAACTCTCACGCGACCGATAACGCAACATCGATATTTTAAATACTTATAAACCATTATCAGATAATATTGCGTCATTTGATATCTTGAATAATGTCACACTGTCTTTTTTTTATACGCAATACTATTCGGCGGCTTTCAATTCAACGCGATGTGTGACGTTCGCGAGCATTCCGTTCCCGTTATGAAAAAGTTTTCATTTTCCGTCGATCCGCATCCGGAACTATTTCCTGATCGTGACCTTTTGCATCCGACTATGTCGGAAGTTCGATACGGACTGCTCCGATACGCGAACCGCGAGGTACGAGGTGCTTTTATCATTGCATGGTGAAAACGTAAACGATAGTCGATCGATTTTCGATGAAATACAATTCATTAACTTGATACGAATTTTCAAGCTGGTACAAATCTAAAGAGGAATTCGCGTTGATGTTCACACGCGTGTCTTCACGAGTGCTGGATCCATTGTTCAAATCGATTATACACACCGGTGTTTTATCTGTTATTAAATGAATCGGGACCGAGCCAGCAAATTGATTCATTTGTCGTAGAAAAGAAAAAATAATAGTAGGTACATCACAATTGATGTCAATTTTCTTTCTGATTGTTTTAAATGTAATTGTACTATCTTTTTGTATTTAAATAATATATTTAATATAATAATAAAAATAATTTTATATTTAAAACAATTGAGATTACAATTAATTATTGCATTCCATATAAGTGATGTGAAAAATATGTATTCGACTGAAGTAGATTTCAATTTAACGTATTAAAGTTTAGAAAGTATGAGTAAAATCTTAAGTTTCTTTTAAATAATTTTAATTGCTAATTGCAAAGAATCTTCTCTTTGCTACCATACACGAGAGTACAAACTCATATTATATAAAGAATATTAATGTTCAAAGAAGCTAGAGACTGTCATACAAGCAAAGTTAATTATTCTTTAAAAAATAAACATCCACTGTGTAAAACGAATGTATCTGGCAAATTGTGCCTGATACATAAATTTTCATAATAAGATTAATAAGATGCCATTTATTCGTCCGCTTACTAATTCAACATTAACCTTCTTCAAGAGCTTAAAATATCCATATTTCTCTAAGATTCACATTCAAATATGCTCTAAATTGCAAATGATGCTTTACATTTTAATATTAAAAAATGTAATACGCAATAATAAACTTTCTTTGTTTTTAATAAACTATTTTCTTATAAAATAAGAAATAGATTTATATTGCATATACATATAAAATAAAAAATTGGTTTATATTGTGTTTCACCGATGTGTACATACTGCAATTAATATATGAATACATATAATAATTCATAGAACTTTATCCTGGACATATATAATTAAAGTAAGGATAATATAAGAATTCTCAGCAAGAGAATTTATGTTAATTCTCAGCACGAGGATCGACTTGTTTCACACCAGAATGAACTTTGCGTACAAAATTCAAATCTTATTCAAATGTTCGGTCGTCGTAGGTTAACTGCTAAAGTTCACATAGTACCGTAAAAAGAAACGAAATTTCTGTGTGAATATATTTCTTGGTTTCTACGTGTACCAATTTATGCAACCAAAAGTACGTAAAAAGGTATAAAATAACTTTTAATATCCCCCGAGATACTTTAGAACTTACGCATTTTCATATTTATATCAACATACGCAATAGTAATGCTGTAGCTTTATCACTTTTTTTATTAAACATTTCGACTATAACAGGCCTTATTAAAAGCGCAGCAAATATCCGGTTTATATAAAAAAATATACGTATATGTATATTTGCATTTATATTCTAAATATAAATTTAACTTTCATTGTGCGATATATTAAAATAATTTTTTCTGCAGCATTGACAAAAAATTGTTTTAAGAGATCTAATAAGAAATAATATACCTAATATCAAAATTACTATAATCGGAAGGCACATTTTCCATATTATTATTATTGTAGTGTAATAAATATTGTGTGACGGCAACAAAAAAATTTCTTAAATAAATGTCTTCGAGAATTTTCACCACTATTACGGCTGCTGAATATCGTCGGTAATTAGCGAACAATCTAACGCTAATATCAGCGAAATGACCGTCATCAGCGCGTGCAAACACGGCGTAACGTTTCGGCCGCAAAACATATTCTAGTCTAAACTGATCCATGCGCAAAACACCGTCAACGGATAAAGGGCCAGGTCATGCAAAGCTCGTCCGACCCTCCTCTATCCGCAAGCTGCAGATTAATCTGCGATCTATATCTTACCTGCAGGCCAAATACGAACTTGCAAACTTATCTGATTCCGTTGCTAACAATCAATTCGAGAAATAACGACGCCTGTCAAGAATTCACTACTTATCTCGATAACGTTAACTATAATTATGCACGCAATTGCAATGCGCATTCTGCAACTCGATTTGTCAATATCTTGTCGATGCATATTTAATGTGATTCTGATAATAAAATAAATATATACTCTTGACAAAGATGCTTTTAGAAACATCCACAGTAACGTAAATATGTATAAAAACTGCATTGTTTTCTCAAAAAATTTTCTTTAATTTAAATGTAGATTTTCATTTATTTTTAGTATATTTTTCAGTTTCGTGAAATTTGTTTTGAAATATCTTTATCGCTTATATAGCTAATTTTGCTAACTAATATACTATTGTACAAAATATACTATAAAAAGAATATATTATTTCGATACGATTATGCAGTAACATAAAAAAAGAAAAAATGCTTTTAGTAGATATTTTCATCATTTAAGTTTAATTCAAAAATTTTAGTCATTTAATCTAATGTTACACATAATTTACAAAGATAAAACGTTATATATATATAACGTAAAAAAAAGATATTAAACTCTCATATTCAACACTAAATATCGAGCAACGAGATCACAAATTTTGAATTTTATAAATTTTTTCGCCGCGAACAATCTAAAAACAGAAATAATCTCTGTTAGTTACTCTTCGAAACGGTCGACTAAAACAAATCGAAATCTTAGAAATATGAATATACGAGGAAGAGTAAATTATGTAATAATTTCCGTTTTCATCGCGAGTAGCAGAGCTGGTGGAAGCTTTATACGTTTCACTTAATGAGTTTCGCGACTTAGTTGTGGACATGCTAATTTCCGACGCTGACGTTTCTATGTTGTGTGTCACGCAGGTACGTTCACTCGCGATCAGAGAGTCTTGAGCGGAAGTCTTGTGCAAGGAAATCGCAACGTCAGCGGCGTGCCGGCTTTCGAGACGAACGTGCCACGGAATGTCACTACTGCAGTCGGTCAGACCGCTTTTCTTCACTGCAGAGTTCATCAGCTAGGCGACAAAGAGGTGAGTGACAGTATAATTCCTAATTTCGCAGCTCTTCCCGTTGAGACAACTTGCTAATTACAACGCCAGGAAATCCGTAACTGACAGTAGTACAACGAAGACTTTGCTCGAGCATCAATTATACGCTCTAAATAAATAGTCAAAACATTCGCGTAATAAATTTCTTCACCGCAACAGATCTTTGAAGTGGGCAAATGGATTCGCCGAGAAATGCTTACATGTAGCCTGATAAAATCAAATCTAATAAATCATTTTATTCGACGGATAAAGATAAATTTCATCAATTTAAATAAAAAATAGCCTATTTTATACGATAATTAAATTCCACAACAATATATTTATCGAATTTAAAGCACAAGCATTTATCAAGATGTAAGGTATCGAGAAACAACAAAATTAAAAAAAACTAGTTTAATCTATCGAGAAAAAGAGTTCATAATCTTTTTAGTCGTGACTCTTAATTGAATGGGGCATAGATATAATAGATAGATATTAAGTAGAAAAAAACTTTGCAATATTCTCGTCGCGTCAAAAGTGGAGTAGAGGTTGCTGTTGCGGTTATGGTTGCTTCATCGTTTTTCAAAATCCTCAATCCTAGGCATGCCTCTCTGTCAGGCTATATAGATCAGAGTTGCTGGGGTTAACATTACCGCAGGGCTGGCCTGCGGTTTCTGGTTAGGTCGTTGATAGAATATGCATGACGCCTGTTTGAAGGCTTAAACCTGTTCAAAGGCGAATAGGGAGATATATCAGCTATTGTCTTTCCAGATTTTTTATTAACAAGAATCGTGATTGACTAATAATTGAATTGTAAAAAAATTGTCACGCTTTTTCCATCGAACGTTAACCTCGTTATTCTTTTAACGTTTATTAGTCAAGCATTGTACATTAATTACTCTTGCGTAAAAACTATCGAATTCAGCTTCCGATAAAAGTACACATAATTGCAAAATTATTCAAAAACTGATAATATAAATTATGCAATGTCTATCGATCGCGGGATATTTAATGTAATTTTCTTGGGCACGTTCTGTTAAAGCTTAATATTTCATCAAGTCGCACAATCTTCCGGTTACCGTGCTGGAGTTCCCGCAGCATGCGAAGATTTCATATTTCACAAAGTTCCAGCCTAGTTCACAGAATATACATCGGGGAAATGTATCGACATTACCTGCATAACAAGACTTGATATTACGTAATTCGGTAAATACCGATATCCTATGCGAGGTTCCTCAAAGTTTCAGAGAATATTGTGGGCATTAAATACCGCAAATTTAAAATATCAGAAACATTCTGAAAAGTGCACAATTAAAATCGTAATTATAATTACAAGAATTCAAACGGCATTCGCATAATTATTACCTTGCATCTAACTCCACTTTTACACGGAAATTCTCTCTCTCTCTCTCTCTCTCTCTCTCTCTCTTTTACAGTTGAATTGTTGTGAAATGTCTTACTAATAGTGGGAAAAGACAGTTGGACTGATTACTCGTTAATGGCCCAATTATTCACAAGCGAGTCAATAATGTGAGTTTCAGCTATTCTCGGGAAGAATATCCCCGAGACTGGAGGAAATGTTCGATCACGCATCATCGATAACTTGCAAACGTTACGATCGTATTTTTATTCCAATAATTACAGGTTAACCGCGGTGAAATTACGATGAAATTCGCGCGAATCACGCACGGGGTTGCGCCAGAATTTTCAGAATAAGTTTTCTATGGTATACATTTCTTCATTTATTTTGTTGCTCGCGATATGAAAATATGTGTTAATATACACAAGCTTCCGTGAGCTCTAATAACGCCTCAGCCGAAGAAACGCTCTTTTCTAGACAAAGCATCACGTATATGAGAGATATGGAAGTGCCATTATTACGCCAGGCTGCATCAAAATCGTAGCTGCCGCATTTTCCAGCAAGACTACCGCTCCACGAACTGTCATTTCTCATTTAACCAGACACACGGCCAGTCATACGCCTCTATTATTAGCAATTGCACACCAATTACGGATATAACGAGGTTTACTTGTGCGCAAACCAATTACGAAAATTCGCGTGAAAATTTTCTTGACAATATCCAACCGAGCCCACATCTCAAAGGGAGGAAAGACAGAGAAGATCAGTGAGAAAAAACGTGCGGATATTGTTCCCGCAGCAGCGAAAACCCGATGAAGCTGAGACGGCGAGAACCGACAGGTCGAATCGTAATAAATTACACGTGAAAATCGCAGTTCGTTTCTTGTGACTGGGCGTCTTATCACATCTTGACACGCTCCCAAATGATTGGCTTAAGATTGGGATTGGTGATGGACTACCCTGGGAGCTTACGATAGTTGCAGAATATAAAAGAAGATCGTTTTGTGGTGCAAGAATTGATGATAGAAAATAAAATAAAAGACAAAATTCTCGTCTATTATAATAGAATATAGTAACTATTGTAAATTTTTGTGTATAATTATATATATATATATATATATATATATATATATACATATATATATACTTTTCTGAGATATTATTCCAGAATAGATTTGACAAATACAGTTTAAGAGAATTTTCGTGGAAAATATTGAATAATAAAGTAGGAAGATGAATATATACAGAGTTAGTGACTTTAATATTCAAACACTGCGAAAGCTTTCTAAATTTATTAATTTATATCTTAACATGCTTATTGAAATTCAGAAATTCTGCAGTATATGAATGTTAACATAAGTAACTGTATATATACATATAGCGTCGTGTTTCGCGGTTCACGCGTTAACTTGAGAAAGTCAGTGGTTTGACTTGCAGAAAGTTGGCAGCGTATATGAAGTTATTGCGGGGCAAATGTTTGGAGTTAACGGAGCTAACTGAGACATTTGCACGTCGCTCCTTTTCTCGACTTAGCAAAGCTGTTTACAACATATCCTAGACTTATAAGCTTGTAGTTTTCCTCTCTCGACATCAACATGTTGTTAATGTATGACTGAAATATTTATTAATCTCACTAATAATTATCTTGCAAAAAGGTTCACAATTGCTCCAAAATCGATAGGATGAAATATATGTTTTAAAAGATATAATTACAATACCGTAAAAAGATCTAATAATTAAAAAATTAAAACTATGTTATTATTACGTAGAAATCCATGGACAAAAATATTTTTTACATATATATATTGTATATTTTTTCTGTTTTTTTCATTTTCAACTTATATATAAATTTTGCAAAATCTGTTGCTTTAAAAAAAATTTTTTTTATTTTTATTCGTAAATTAATTTCGTGATTTAATGTTAATTTGACAGTATTCGACGACAAGATAACATAGGAAGACTAAGTACTGCGACGTACTTCCGGCACGGCGTTGATCGAAGTTGTAATCGTTCTCGCTCTGCATTTAGTGACGTTCTCGTTGTATCTCGAAAGTTTGTGAGTGATATTTACGTTGACACATTGTATCAGAGCTTCAGCAACTCGAAATCGGAACATTAACTACGTTCGCACGTGCAACTTGGTATCGCCATATGCGGCTTATATAGGGTGCTCATCCGTAAAATGGAAACGCAACATTTGCATTGCTAATTCCATGCGTTACATTACGCGCTTGTTGACCCGAAATAATATTCCAAAGGGAAAAGTCATCAACTTGCTCTCTATTGTATAAATGCATTTGTATTCCGAATTATACAAAAAAATGAAATAAGTATGCATGCAGATACATATTTACAAAAGAATTGAAGTTAGTCCGCGATCTCTAAACGCGTGTCAATAAAATTTGCATTTTAGTAAAAATTGTTAATATCTCTCGACAAAAACAATTTTCTCCTAGTTTTACTCTTTTCAATCTACAATATTCGCCGTCAAAATATCTTCCAATAATGATATTTTAACTCGTATGATACGAATGACATATCTCGACTATTTTAGTTCGTAACCTTCACCCTTTAACTTCTATTTCTCGTCGAAAGTTTCCGAGAATTTTCGGTATTTATACCACCTAATTCGGTCGGTAAACGACCCGAATCGATTTGTTCAAGGAAGAATGAATTCGAACGAATCTGGATTCCGAATTTCACACGATGGAGTTATATCGGCGAGACGTTGTCGCTGTATATATTCGAAGTGACAGAAAGAAAACAGCTCAGTAATTCGATCGTTTCGGCGAAACCCACGACTCTTTTCCCAGTTTGAATAAATATCGCGCCGGGAAGCGGAAGTGTCGTTCATCCCGAGATTCCCTCTAACCCGAGTCGCGATCCAAGATTTACGCACGACCTTGCAAACAAGGAGGGAGAACCGGATTTTCGATGTGATCAGCGTTACGGTTTTGTTTGAGTAGCGAAGCGTAGCTGCAAAATGCCGCATTGCAAGATCCGCGGTGAGAAATCTTCGCAAAAACGAACGCGAGAACAAGTCTTATCTTCTTGCGACGACGTAATATGCTTTTGATAGTCTATTAAGAACGTCGACTCGAAAATTTCATTATTTTTAATCGCGCGATAACTGGTCATTTTGTTGGCTTTTTAGTGAGCTTAATATATATCGACGTTATTTATTTTTGTTGCCAACGTATTGTTAATATTAGTCTATTAAAATGTATCAAGAGTATTAAGTGTACGTGGTAGCTTAAATATTATAAGCGACGAGCTAAAACGTAAACTATATGTAATGAAGTGTATACGAGCTAGCTTATTAAAACTTCATTCTCTCTTTATACTTTAATTGAGCGACTTTTCACATTTTTACATCGTCAATTTTTTAAATATAAAGATAATAATAAAGTTATAATCTTATATAAAATACCTGCATTTAAATATTATTAAAGAAAATAGCCAATTAATTGACTTAATAAAAATGCGAATAATGCATTTTAAAAACTTTAATCAATAAAATATGTTGAAAAAGAAAGAGAAATAAAAAGGTAAACGCCTTTACGCTTAGTGTCGTCGCTTTTTACATTATTACATAATCTGAAAAAAAAAAATAATAAAGTTTGTCGATAAGAGAGTGAAATTC